GTGGACGATGAATAGATGAATAGATGAATCGACAGATATCAACTGGTATTCATCAAGTACTTACTGTATAAGTATCTAGGTAGGTACCTAGTAGGCACAGAATCCACTCATCAGTCCTACATCAATAATTGAGTATTTCAAAAGTACCTAGGTAGGTGGGTAAGGAAAGAAAGATGGATGACCTAGAAGTTTCTCATCCAATCAATATAAATCAATCTTGATGTTCTCCCCAATCGCTTTCGCTTTGTACAACGACTTCATCGACTTTATTAAGTACTCATTAATAACTACTATGCTTGTAATTGGAGGTATTGGTCCTGAATACGTATCCAGTTGAAATGAGAGGAATGTCGCGAAACATTCTTACCAGCAATCAGTTCCTAAACCTCAAACACCTAAATACTGTAATGTAACTCCTCTCGAATTCACAATCTCTTTGGATTGATTCAATGATTTCAATCCATTCAATGGCATTCAATTGAAGATTGTTACAAGTTATTGTTCGTGAAATTATCATATCATCATTCATTATTGAAATTGTCTCTTCCTTCTTCTTCTTCCTCTCCCTCTTCTTCACCTCCTTCTCCTTCTCCTTTTCCCTTTCTCCTCTTCTCCTCTTCTCCTCTTTTAGACGTCTCTCTCCAATAAAATATGTTACCGTACCACACCGGGACCTTGTTACCAAACCAAAATTGATAAGACCTCATTCATTTCGCATTTAATAAAAAAGCTTCGAGGCTAGGCCGTGGATCCCCTTTAAACTTAACGGTCTCTTGCTTTGACAGTACCAGAAACTCAACCCCAAACCCAACTTTGTTATTCTGAACTATCTTTATCAAACGGCCACCTGGACATTACCTCCATCTCCTTCAACGTAATGAGATGAGATATTCTATAGTCGCTTTTGCGCCTTTGAAAATCCATGAATTCCCAAAGATAGATTGCCAAATTCACTCAAATGACAGTGCTTAAAGACGCGCTTTCGCGATCCGATACATTTTTGCGACCCCGGTCGGAATATATTTCGAGTCCCGGCGTGCAATCCGACGATTCTACACCTTCAACGCCAGATAAAGATCACGAACGAAAACCACGAACTGTGCGAAAACCATCGCCCGGTCTTGCTGCTCGACTTGCAGCGTTAGGTTTTGGAAAAGATCCCGATCCAAATTCGGCAACGACAACGTCACCAGTTGACCGAATTGGCCGCATTCCTGAAGATCAAATTCGCCAACTTGATCACCTCCACCGCGCTAATTCTACGAGTTCGCATATTCACCGACGAGGTCGAGCCTGGAGTGGCAGCATTGGTCTCTTGACTCCTCAAGTAACTGGAGGTAGCTTTAAAGAGACCAACCTTCGAGAGATTAACATTAGTGACACGCGAGTACTTGACAGTGCCACGCAGTCCACGCCTTCGCTTGATAACTTTGGTCATCAGGACATGACAACAAATGTTGACCTTATAGGAATGGATTCGCAGAAGTATCGGTTACCAGAACATACAAATGGAAATGGCACAAAAACAATGGCAGATATAAAGCAGGCGCACATCGAACGAACGATACCTCCTGTAGAAGAGATTGAAATACCTCCACCTCCTATCCACAAAGACGAAACACCTCCACCTCCTATTCACGAAGACGAGACACCTCCACCTCCCATAGCTAAAGATACTCCGCCAACTGCGACAACACCCAGCGAGTCTTCAAATGACGTTTCATCCTACTTCAATCCCTTTGGTCATCAACGGGCGGGCTCAATTTACACGTTGTCGCGAGCGTCTTTTGCAAGTCAACTTGCTCAATTGACGTCTTTGCAACTACCAGATGCAGCCTCGTTGTCAACGAAAATTTCCGCAATTCCCAGCTCAAAATCTGCCTCGAAGGCATTAATGGGAGCCGCAGAACAAATTAGAAGTTGGATATCAAAAGCATCAGATGTTGTCTCTGGCCTAGATGGAGAGGATGATGTAGAATGGGCAGCAGCTGGCGGTCGAGAAGGGTTGGAGGAAGTGGATAATGCGATTACACGCTTTGAAAAATTAATTAATGTTTACGTGTCAGCCATCGAGTCTTTACAAGAACGCCCGGATATTGCTACGGTTCCTGCAGATGAACTTCAAAAGGTCGTACTACAGGTAGAGAGCATCCTTGAGGAATGGGAAAAGATAAGGAGAAATCTCAAGGCTGTGAAAAACTCGGTTGAGATTGCCATGGAATGGGAGGAATTATGGAATACGGTTTTGGGAGATATAGGCAATGAAGTGGATATTCTGGCGCGACTCGTTTTTGAAATGGAGGAGAAGCGACACAAGTCCTTGGCAGAAGCCGACAACGACGGAGTTGATATCAAGGAGCTCGAGACAATTGTAGAAGAAACGCCCTCATCTAAGTCGAGGTTACAGGCCAATAATAGATTTGGTATGACATCTTCAGCAGCCTTTCCTCTGAGCCCTAACTCGCCAGTTACACCGATAATGGCGCAAGACGATTCAAGCCTCCTAGCATTGTTTGCAAGAATGCAGCCCCTGAGAGCTTCTTTGGACTTCTTACCTATGAGATTATCTACGTTTCATGCTAGAGCCGAAGCGATATTTCCTACGGCCTGCGACGAGCTAGAAAGTCGACGAGGTGGTTTGGAGAAAAGTTGGAACTCTCTCGAGAAAGATGCTGAATCATTACGAAGGGAACTTGGTGAAGATCGTTGGGTTCTCGTCTTCCGCGGTGCGGGTCGACAAGCACAGAAAATGTATGAATCTGTCGAAAGAAGCTGTGCCAAGCTGAAGGAGTCTCTTGATACTGGGGTCCATTTAAACAACCCTGCTACAATGGGCAAGAAGATCGAGAGTTACGAAGCGAAGAAGATGCACTACGGTCCAGCCATCGAAAGAGTTCTATCAATCATCGAGAAAGGAGTAAAGGATCGCCTCACAGTCAATGGTGAAATCTTGAGATTACACTCAGATATGCAACAGAGGTGGGATTCGTTGAAAGATCAGATGAATGAATTGGACACAACACTTGAAGAACTCCAGTCAGATCGCAGAAACCAGCAGCTCAGAGATTCAATTTCGAGTATGGTTTCGAATGATCGCTCAACCATTGGAAGCTTGAACAATGACACACCAGGAAGTTCGCCAGCATCCTCAGTGATTATGTCAAATTTAAGTAGTAAACTTGACCCAACAACACCCGCAAGGAACGGAAAGATACGTTCCAGTGGCAGAAGTAGTGTGGCTGGAGCAAGAAGAAATTTAAGTGTCGGACAACCTCCTCGATCTTTGAGTCGAGCTTCCCCATCCCCTATCCCTCCCCGACAAAGCTCTGCAACCCCAACTGGTCGACTCCCCCGACCTTCCAATACACCCAGTGACAATCGACCTCGATGGAATACCAGCACTAATACCAGTGATATACTTATTGGCCATGGTTTCAAACCTCTTAGTGTCACAACACCAAGTTCCACCCAATCAAATCGGTCTACTAGGTCCAATACATCTGATTCCAAGATACCATTGCGAAGCCCACTGGGTCGCGGAAATACAGCCTCTCCAGTCATACGAGAACCTACGACTCCTTCGGGCAATAGACCGGCTTCACGAACAGTACGACGTGACCTCTCTACCCCTGGGCCATACTCTCAACATACCCTATCAGTTAATTCACCTTCCCGTCCCCGTGTTCTGGCTAGCAAGTCCTCCATGTCAAATCTGACAGGCAATAACCGTCGCTCCTCGATGCAACCTTCATATTCATATGAAGCCAGAGCTAGCAGCCCGGTAGTTCGAAGACCTGCTAGCTCGTTAGCTACCAGCAGAAGGATAAGCCTTCTTCCCACCCCACGAGGCAGAAACTCGGAAATGGCTGGCAGGGATAGTCCCGCACCAAACAGAGGCAGCAGCACATCTACAACTGATAGCAAAGGTAATCCCAAGAAGCCATGGAGACCATAAATCCTCTTATCAAATCAAAGCTCTTGGGTTACCGAAGCTCTTGTAAATGTGTTTTGGTGTTTTATCGTTTGACTTCAATCATACACAGCATGGTTTGTAGGCGTTTTTTCTTTCTTTGCCACGCCATTTTGAAACGCGCGATGTCTTTTAGCGAATGGATTTTTTTGTGCTATTGAAATTATACAGTGTGAATGGAGCATTGAAGGAGTTTAAACGGTATGGTCGAAACTTGCCTACACAAGATTTCACGATCCACATTTGACGGTTATAGAAGTACAATGGATTGGAATGTGATGGATTGGGATTTTGGGGTGGTGAAGACGCTGCGCGAGGTCAACGATGGAGAATGATACCATTACTTGTATGATAGATAAATTAGGATTGCTAGGTAGTTAGCGAAGCGAAGGAAGACTGTGATACCCTTTTACTATAACCATAGATGTCGACGTTTTCCTTTTCTAGAATGAAATGATTTGTGAAATAGTTTGATAGCTTTTATTCCATGCTCTCTTATGCTTCTTTCTCACCCATGAACCAACTTCATTCACCGCTACTTGGGAGACCGGAAAGATCATTTCCATCGTTTAGATATAAATAATGTATTGGTGTAGTATATTATATACTAAGTGATAATTGTAACACATGATCAAACATAAGTGGAGGGAGGAGGATGTTTCTATTCTTCACACCTTAGTTTTTACCGTTTCTGAGTTCTTCAAGATATACTTGGGTACGTACCCAGGCGAGGGAGGTAGGGTATAATTTCTCCCTTGTATACTCTTGTTAATATCACATCACCATTCACCAAGGTACCATGTATACCTAGAAACAGACAAACCTTCGCGTCTCCCCAAGTTGATATCTTGTTAACTCATCTCGTACATGAACGGGATTACCAATCGCATTCCATGATTCGCTCTCCATCATGTACTCCGTAACGATGGAGGAAAAAAGTGGAGTCCACATCGTCACTTTTTACCTTTTTTCCGTTAAACCCCAGATTTATGGGGACTGCATCTTCCGGTTTAAAGAGGGCCGAAATCGCTGGGGAATGCTTCTGCAAGTGAAGCTTGATTCTGTTAATTCATCTTGGATTATATTAATTGTGTCTGGTGTCCCAGTGATTGGATTGTGCATACCGACCTATATTTCATTGATTGTTATTATATTTTGTAATTTGTTTATTTTTCCATAGGTATACGGGATATTTGAGGATAGAAGGATTGCATCTATTTGTTATTGTTCGACTGTTGTAGAAAAGACTTCGAGGTTGTGTCAACATGACGAAGACATTTAAGGGTTCAGAAGGTATATTCATTTCTTCCACTCATCTCTACTGTCTTTGATCCCTATTCGATGTTTCCTTAGTCAATTATCTCTGCTTCGATTTATCCCGTCTCATTTCACCCGTTTCGAGAATGCATTCCGTTAAACTAACACATGCAACACATAGTCTCATCCCACAATACACCAGAATCCTGCTGGGTATGCATCAATTCCACCGTCTACGATGTCACGGAGTTTCTCCCCAATCACCCCGGTGGATCCAAAATCGTTCTCAGTCTCGCCGGTAACGTTGACGCTACCGAGGAATTCGAAATGATTCATCCGCCCGGAACCCTCGAAGAGAATCTCGACGCCTCCAAGATCCTCGGCAAGATTGATGTTTCGGAACTAAAACAACCGATTGAAGAGAAAACAAAGAGTTCTCCTGCTGAAGCTGCGGGTTCAAAAGATACCGATGAAGATGCAATTGATGTAGATGCGGATGTCAAGACCCTTCTTAATCTCGATGAGATTGAACAATTGGCCACGAAGAAGATTTCAAATAAATGCTGGTCATATTACTATTCAGCGGCAGATGATCTTTGGTCGAAGAGCTTCAATAATGCGGTATATCGACAGATTCTCCTGCGACCACGAGTCTTTGTCGATTGCACAAAATGTGATTCTTCCACCACGATACTGGGACAGAAGGTTGGATTGCCGATCTTCGTATCGCCAGCAGCAATGGCAAGATTAGCCCATCCGGCTGGTGAACAGGGCATTGCTAAGGGAATTTCGAACTTTGGTGCTGTGCAAATTGTGTCGAATAATGCGAGCATGACCCCTGAACAAATTGTAGAGGGCTCACTACCAGGGCAGATTTTCGGTTGGCAGTTGTATGTGCAAAATGATAGGAAGAAGAGTGAAGCTATGCTGCAAAGAATTAATGCTATGAGTGATAAGTATAAGTTTATCGTTTTGACTCTAGATGCGCCAGTGCCGGGAAAGAGAGAACATGATGAGAGACAAAAGGATGTAGGAGCTAGCCTACCTGTTTCTTCGGGAGTAAAAGCCAAGGAAAATGTGGAAGATAACAGTCCGCCGGCTGGCAAAGGAGGGGTGGGTAAACAACTGTTTATGGGAACAGCCGCAGATTTGACTTGGAAATCTACCCTGCAGTGGTTGGCTAAACATACTAAAATGCCAATTGTCTTGAAGGGTATCCAGACCCATGAAGATGCATATCTAGCATCCCAATACGCACCACAAGTCAAAGGTATTCTTCTTTCAAATCATGGAGGAAGAGCGTTAGATACGGCACCACCTGCTATTCACACACTCCTTGAGATCCAAAAATACTGCCCAGAGGTTCTCAGCAGGATAGAAGTTTGGGTTGATGGTGGCATTAAGAGGGGTACAGACGTAGTGAAGGCTTTATGTCTTGGAGCTAAAGCTGTGGGGGTCGGCAGAGCTGCATTATTTGGTCTTGGGGCTGGTGGTCCAGAGGGCGTGGAGAGAACGTTTGAGAGTATGTATATTTCTGATTTGTTTCTTCAAGCAGTGTCTACTTTCCAACTTCATTTCTCAAAAAGTTATTGAAATTCAATTGGGAAATTTGCTAACACATACATCTACTAGTCCTGAAAGCCGAAATGGAAACTTGCATGAGACTTCTAGGCGTGGAGAAGGTCAGTGAGTTGGGTCCCAAACATGTTAATGCCAGAGCGGTTGAAAGGGATCTGTATGATGGACATCCAGGCTTGGAGAAATTGGGATTGTGGGTAAAAGCCAATTTGTAGATTTTCAATGGGGAGCTGGAGTAGGTGGTGGTGTTGATATGTGTAATTTTTGTCTGGTGTGTATGGGGTGTATAGATTGTAGATGGATAGATTGTAGATGGTTAATCACATTTTCAATCTAGCATATCTTATTAGTACACGCTCATTGGGAAATGATCGTGACTTCGTACATGACTTCTGAATACCTAATAATTGCACTTGATGTTTTTACGTGATACGCACTCACTCACTCGTCTTGAGATTTATCCGAGAGATGGATCATCTCTCTTGTGTGTATAAGTACCCACCTATTATTCTATAACACTGCATCTACCTAGATACTCGAGCATTATCTACAGCATCTACAACATCTTATTATAATATTTTTCATGTATCTGTTTATCTTCTTATTTCTCCAGGGAAGGAGCTGTACTATGTATACTTCGTATAAAATGTACAGTGCCTCCACTCTCGATATCCTATCTTGGTATTTCGTGGTGGGGAAGGGAAGGGAAGGGAAGGGAAGATTGCTCATGTAGTGTGTATGGGTAAGTATCTAGGTAGGTATCTCGATTCTACTGTGTGCTGTGTCTTGGGATTTTTGGTATACCTCCATGTATGTAAATTGGGATTGAGATGGTGGGAGTGGGGTGGGATGGGGAGTGTGTGGGATATGGTATATGGTATGTGGTATATGGTATGTGGTATGTGGTATGTGGTATGTGGTATGTGGTATGTGGTATGTGGTATGTGGTATGCGGTATGCGGTATGCGGTATGCGGTATGGGGCATGCGGTAGTATGTTGTAGGTGGTAAATGAATGGATATAAGCCAATATGTGAACAGGTATATAGTTGGAAGATGTATATGAGAAGTTTACTCCGCGGGAGGAATCGGTAAGAGGATAGAGTACCCAGTTGAGATAGAATTCTAGATTGTCATACTGAAAATTCTGCTACAAACGGCCCCTTGAACATGCTCGTCACAAATCGATGTTTACTTTGTGATTACAGTCCAATGGGTATGCTTTGCAGTTACAATGCTGTAAAGAAGTGCCAAACTATTGAATTTGAAAACATGAAGCACAATACACCTAAAGCTATAAACCATGTTCCATGCTACAAAGAACTTGCATGCATTTATTCATAGTAATAGGTACTGACATATCTGGAAGGAAAGAACATGAGCTCAAGGTGATCTACTCCGAGCTTCGAAGAAACATTGCGAAGTTCCAACCATCAGGCAAAATGTATTAGAAGAAGAAAGAAAGTTGCACTCGAGTGAAGTGTACAAGGCGTCATGATAGAATGGTGAGCAGGCTCATGGGTATCTATTTGTTCATTTATACATTCTCCGCATCTGCCACAAGCTGAAGTCACAAAAGATCCCAGAGAAGATGAGGATCTGTCTCAAGAACGTAACGCTCGTCCTATCATTAATTATAATCGTACCATGCCACCACGTTCAGTGGCACATTGATAGACCATTGATCTTCTATTCCCATCATCACACGCCACAAAAAGAAGCCAGCGGAAATGAAGTTATGATAACAATCAAATGGCTCAAGGAGTGGCGCTCTAACCTGTGTCTCTTGTTTCATTCATTGAGCAATGACCGAATGGCCGGGTCAGGTATAAAGATCTTGGAATATTCCTGATTAGTTTCACTGCAGCATCTTCTATCGCACCGCATCCGCTCTTGATCCTGCAGTCTGCCGTCGAACACTCGGAAATAATTTAATCACTTGAAATCAGTTGCTTAAACTTCCAATCAATATCATGTTTCCAAAACTTGCAATTGCTTCGCTAGGCATACTCGCGACCTCTATTCAGTGCATCGATGTAACGATAAATTCTATCCTTGATGGCGAGATCAAAGTTGCCTCTACCCAGCTCGACAAAATGAATTTTTTGTTAAACAACAACCTGACCTGGTTTTTTGATTTTACTACGCAGCCCCACTACACCTATACGCCAGGTGCCGTCGTCAACGCTGATGCTGCTACATTCCCTGCTTCGACTAGTTACGGTATGACGATGGCCTTGATTAACTTGGGACCATGTGGAATGTTACCTCCTCATTACCACCCACGAGGCACGAACTTTGTAGTGGCAGTCGAGGGTGTGACGCAGACGTGGATGATTGAGGAAAACGGAGCGAAGGTTGTCAACCAAACACTGAGGCCATGGCAGATGACAATCTTTCCGAGAGGAAGTATTCACAGTATGCAAAATTTAGGTACTGTTTGTCCCTATGAACTGAGACAATCAATGCTGAATAGAATCAAGGTTGCACTAAGGCTACTCTTGTATCGGCGCTGAATTCAGAGGATGCAGGCACACAGAACATTCTTAATGGACTTGCACAATTGCCACCGGATATAATAGCTGCGGCTTTTGGTAGTCCAGCGGCAGGGTTCAATCTTCCACCTATACCAGAAGTAGGCACCGGTAGTATAATTGGATCTGCGGCCTGCCTAGCAGCTTGCAGGGGGAAAATGTAATGCGAGTTCCAGAGTAGTTTGATTGTGAGTGATCAATCCCTTAGGAATCTCACTCACCATGGTATTGACTCGCAGTAGATGTCTTTTCGTTGTTGTGTGGAAGTGGCGTTAGTGGATGGGATACGCGATACAATCTGGCGTTTTGGTTATTGTTTTGAGGAAACTGTCTAGCGATTTGAGGTTTACTAAGTATAGCAACAACTGTGTAAAGTACTTTCACTGTCGTTCTGTTCGCCTTGGTGCAATTCATGTATACGTAGTTACCACAATATTTTCCGAAAGGAGGTGAGACTGCCCATCAAGGTTGGTTGGACAAAAAGGCTCGAGTTCGTACGTTTGGAGACGGGTGTTGTACCTTAAATACGCTCCTTATTTGCCTCCAAACTTTTTTGCGACCCAGGCACTTCCGTGTTCGTCATACTCTTGCTTCGTTACTGACAGCTTCTTCAAGACATCAGGATGTCTCGCCAATTCTGCTCCGCCATTCCAAGTGCTGATAATAGGGTGTTCTGGTCTCGCACAACGAACGTAACACTCCGCTGGAGCAAGAGCCTTAATCTCAAGCTGCAGTCTCAAAATGAATCCTTCTATCTTTGAGCTGCCTCCTACGACAATGATATTTGCAAGAAGCGCTGGCCATAGACCCATTGGTAAAGCAGAAAGACTTTCCATGACTAGTTGAGCAATGCCCGATTGTCGCATACCAATGTCCGATGGATTAAAGAGCAATTCTGGGACCGTGAATCTTTCGTTTCTCAAGGTCAAAATATCTTCCGCAGCTTCTGCCAGCTTCCCCTTGGTCAGCTGTTCTAATTTTCCTGCTTGTAGTGGATCATGATCTCGCACGAAACCCTGAGACCGATTATGATAATCCGGTAGAACATAATCTTTCGCTATTCCACCACCCGTCTCAAATATTTCTCTTCGGTCTCCTCTAGTTCCTTTCCATGTTTTCTCCATATCTCCATTGAAGTCCCTTGATACATAACAACATGCTTCCTTGATTTCATTGACCAAATAAGTGTCGTTGCGCATATCATACTGGCGTAGAGATATTAAGCGTGTCAAATAGTTTGTCATGAGCTTGCCTCCAACTTCTAACCTCCTGATCGCTGATTGTAGAGGGCGCCCTCGCAGCACAGGTGTAATAGTCGTATGAGAATATCCTGCATCGATGAGAAGTATTATTTCGGCGGGAAGAAGAGGCTGTGATGGATCTCGAGCTGGCCCTTTAAAGATTCCTTGAATGTCGTTATACGAATTGAGAATTGGACCTAGATATTCATTAATATACGCAATTAAAACATATCTTATACATATCACCACATACCAGGGCACCGATAGTAGCTAGCAAAGCCAAATTCCTCGAAAACCATTTGATCACAATTTGTTTGCAGGACTGGCAGCGCATTGGGTGCCTCTGTCAATATGAGACCCGTCTCTCTTGGATCGCAATGTAATGGCGCTTTTTTGTCAAAGAATTCGTGCTCCCATATTTCCTTCTCTGCCTCCCAATTCACCAGGTATCCTTTTTCGACAGGCCTACGAAAGACGATATCTCCAAAATCCTTACAATTGTCGAGTTGTGATCCAATATAGACCTTCTTTTCGCGGTCGCGGGCCATGCAATTGGGTATAATTCGCGGTGAATCCGTGGATTCTGGAGATGAGAATCCAGCTTTGATAGTGTAAGCTCCATTGTCAATGACCAGAGTTCTGGATGGTGCTTGAGCAGCGGCTGCTGCTTTTTCCTGTGTAGACATTTTTTTTATTTCGTCCAAGTTTGGACCGAAAAAGGTGTCAGCGCATTATTATCGGGATGCTAAAGGGAATTTTGGTGGTTGCTTGAAGCTTATCGACGCATTACAGGGGTAAATATCGCGTCACACTACCTATGGGATTCGCGCCGAAACCCCCACCAAGAAAATAGTTTTCAGGCTTCAGATTTCTCAGCGTCATAACTGTTGGATTTGCACCACAACAACAATACCATGGCCGACACCGAAAAGAAAGCCGGCGATGACTTGGCTCTTCTAAAATCTACTGTCGAAAACATTAAAAACTTGATTTTACAACTACAAGCTTCGGCAAAAGCTCCAGAAGATGTGAAGGAGGAGGGGTCATCGTCTGAAAAGAAAGAGCAACCCAAGCACGCTGATGTCAATGCTATCGATCTTGCCCATGATTCTGCGAGCTTAATTAAAGCACACTCGACGAAGTTGTCTCTTTTGATTATTAATAAACCTTTTACGCCTTCCGCAATCAGTAAGGTATTGCGAGAACTTGTGTCGGGACCTTTGCCAGGCCTGGCATCTGCCGTCGAAATTTGCCATGCTGCGAAATACACTAAGGCTATGAGTGAAGAGCTGCAATGGAGAGTAAATAAGGTCTTGACGGAGTTATCGACTCTGATCAAAGCAATTCCATTAGATGGCAACATTCTGAGTGACGACAAGAAGAATGGAACGGGAAAATCAAGTGGGAAGGGTAGTTTGGCTTCGACAGGTGTTGTATGGGATGCCTGTGATTCTGTCATGGGTTTGAAGACTTTGGGTGTAGCAGGATTGGCTATGAAGAAAGCTGTAGAATATCGAGATTTGGTGAAAGATGCGCTCGAGGAATTGCAAGCATGGGCGGAGGAAGAATCAGATGACGAGGATGAGGATGAGAACAGTGGTGATGAAGATGACGAAAGAAAAGACCCTCAAGATATTGTGGATGATCTCTTTGGATCCCAACCACATATAACCAAGGACGACCCGGAAAA